CTCGACGAGTTGGAGGACCCAACTCGACGAGTTGACGCTGGAATATGAAACCCTATTTTTTAGGGTTTGCACCCTATTAAAGGACCTTAAGTCCTTCCTCCCAGCCTCCTTACCACCCTTTCACGTTCAAAAGAAAACCCTTAGAGATCTAACCCCGTTTTTGAGTGTTTGTGAGGCTAAAAGAGTGTTTTTGGTGCATTGGTTGAAGAAGCTTGGAGGTTGAGAAGCTTGGAACATAAAATAGTTTGTAGGTCCAGCATCTACATCGTTTTGGCTTCCATTTAAAGGTAACAAGTTTTTACCTTGATCATTCTAGTGTTAAATCTCCATATTCATGGGTTTAAGGCCATTTTTTAGCATATTTGTGGGTCATTTCGGGTAATGGGCATGATCTGAAGTTGTAACTTCAGATCTGGGCTCCTCTAAGTCCTCATAGTCATAAAGTAATTGAATTTATCAAGATTTGGCCTTTCTCTTTGGATTAAACTTCTTCCTTGTTTTTGGAATTTAAGACCTTGCATGCACGTAAAGTTTGCAACTTTATGTGGTAACCATGCCCTAGGAGGTTAGATCTATAATTTGGAACCTTGGTCCTGCTTAAAAGCGTCTGAATAAGAAAATGACTGAAGGGACTCGACGAGTTGCATGGTCAACTCGACGAGTCGGATTAAGATTGCCTGTTTCTGGATTTTGCATGGACTCGGCGAGTCAATGAGATGACTCGACGAGTTAGTTAGGGTTTTCCCGACATTCTGGACACTGCATAGACTCGACGAGTTGTTTGGAAACTCGGCGAGTCCACTAGGGTTTTCACGACTTCTTGAGTTCTGAAGGAACTCGACGAGTCAGTGAGTTACACTCGACGAGTTAGGTCAACATGGACTGTTGACCTTGACCGTTGGCTTTAACTTTAGCCAAGGGTTGACCAGTTGACTTCTGAGGGTACCTTTGTAATTTGGGTATTCATGGAAGTGGATCATTGGTGGTTGTAGGTGTTGGTGTTTGGAGCCGTGATTTGGGAATTTGATATTTCAGTTTCGATCGACATTGTGAGGTGAGTTCTTTTCACTATATCAACATGGTCTAAGGCACCAAGGCTGAACCTTTATGATTTGTATCCTGGTTATAGGATTATGCTATGTTAGTGATCCGTTAGATCGGTATCCTGGTTATAGGATTATGTTATGTTAGTGATCGATTAGATCGGTATCCTGGTTATAGGATGATACTATGTTAGTGATCTGTTAGATCTGTATGACTATCTATACATGCTAGCTAGTGTATGATATTATGTGCACATGATCGTTTGATTGGGGGTTGGCTTGAGGCGGTCATGCTTTGTGCTTGTGCCAACATACCCAGGGCGGACTGGATAGACTGCAAACCCGGTTAGTACGTACTAGTCAGGCCGAAGGCCCGACGAGCGGTCCGGATAGGCTGAAGGCCCTGAGAGGTGGTCCAGACGTGTCGATGGCTCGGAGAGTGGTCCAGATAGACTGATGGCCTATGAGGCGGTCCAGTCAGGCTGATGGCTCATTATGCATGTTTTTTGTTTATATGATATTGATATGGTTTGTATGGAGTTGGTATTTTGGGGAAACTCACTAAGCATCGGGCTTACAGTTGTTGATTTGGTTTCAGGTACTTCTGATGATCACGGGAAGGCGAAGGCATGATCGTGCACCTCTTTATGTTTTTATGAATTGATTATGGGATACTCTGACATGAAACCATTTTGAAAACAAATTTCTAATAATGATCGGTTTTTGAATGATTTAAAAAGTTTTAAATTGGCATGATTTTTATAGGTGTTACATCGTAAGACAGTTGGGTGCAAATGGATCTTCAAGAAGAAGACCGAAATGGATGGAAAAGTATACACTTTCAAGGCTCGACTGGTTGCGAAAGGCTTTACTCAAACCCCAGGGGTTGAATATGACGAGACTTTCTCACCAGTGTCCAAGATTAAATCTATTAGGGTAATGCTAGCCATAGTTGCATTTCATGACTATGAGATCTGGCAGATGGATGTCAAAACTGTTTTCCTTAATGGGAAGTTGGCTGAGGATGTTTACATGAGTCAACCAGAGGGTTTTATGGATGCAAAGTATCCAAATATAGTGTGTAAGCTTGAGAAATCAATCTATGGATTGAAACAAGCTTCTCGCAGATGGAATCTTTGCTTTGACGAGAAAGTCAAAGAGTTTGGCTTCTCTAGAAGTGAAGATGAATCTTGTGTATATGTCAAAGCTAGTGGGAGTATACTAACCTTCCTGGTTTTGTATGTTGATGACATACTTCTTATAGGGAACAAAATTCCAACTTTGCAAGAGGTTAAATCTTTGCTTGGAAAGTGTTTCGCTATGAAGGATCTGGGATAGGCTGCTTATATTCCGGGGATAAGAATTTTGAGAGAAAAGAGTAAAAGGCTAATTGGACTTAGTCAAAGTACATACTTGGAAAAGGTGCTAAAGCGTTTTAGTATGGAGAATTCCAAGAAGGGAGAACTGCCTATCCAGAGTAATATCAAACTAAGACTCAGAGTCCGAGTACCGATGTACAGATAGCAGAAATGAGTAGAGTTTCATATGCTTCCGGCGTTGGAACTATCATGTATGATATGACATGTACTCGCCCTGATGTGGCTTTTGCTTTGAGCATGGTCAGTCGTTATCATGGGAAATCCAGGTAGAGCGCACTGGATAGCAGTTAAGAATATTCTTAAGTATTTACGAAGAACTAAGGACTGGGTCCTTGTGCTTGGTGGCAGTGATAACTTAAGAGTAACCGGGTATAGTGACACCAACTTTCATATAGATAGAGACAACTTCCGTTCTCAATCTGGCTGGGTGTTTACCCTTACTGGAGGAGCGATAACTTGGAAAAGTTCCAAACAGGAGACATTGGCTGATTTTAGTTGTGAATCAGAGTATATAGCAGCAAGCGAAGCATCAAAGGAGGCAATTTGGTTAAATAACTTCATTGGTGACCTTGGAATTGTTCCAGCCATCAAGGAGCCAATGAAGATTTTATGTGATAATGAAGGGGTTGTTTCCTTAACAAAGGAACCAAGAGATCATGGCAGATCGAGACATATCGACAGAAAATACCATTTCATCAGACATAGAGTAGAAGAAGGTCACCTTATTATGAAGAGGGTGTCATCAGAAGAGAATCCAGCAGATCCCCTCTCACAAAGGGTCTGAATAGGGTCAAGCACATTCAACATGCTAGGAGAATTGGCCTGAATGATGATATTAGTTTTAGTAGTTAGATAGGTATTTAGAAACTTGTAACAAAATAAATGTAATTGACTTTTGGTGATTAAGTAATGGAGATTTATTTATGAGTTGGATTACTACTTTGTGTTTCATTTTTTACTTCCAGAATAATTGAATTATTCAAACATCCATAGTCGTTCATACTTTTGGAAGTAAATAGTTAATTAAGGCTGTCATGAATCGGATTGTAGATTGTCTAAGGGTTTAGACATAGCAATGGTTTGCTACATCGTTCATGAGTACTTGAAAATAGGGATTTTAAGTATTGGATTAACCCACGCTCAGAGTATTACTTCATGGAATTTATCACGAGTAATTCTGAGATGATAATATCTTATAGTCTTTAAACGGAGATATATGAGTCGTGGTTTACAAATCAATTATGCATTGATAATATGTAAACGCATCAGTAATTTGATGTTATAAAATGTATTGTTGTGCGTGATTTGGTGAGTAAATAGCACAAGCATATAAGTCAAAGTTTATCTGTTCCTTTTTACCCTTAGGGGAAAAAGCGATATCTTTGGGCCCCTCGATAATTTGGTGTTGACTTGTAGTGTCGGGCCCGGCCAAGACTAAATTGATGTGTTCGATTAGTAGTTCTTTGTCATTACAAATCAGAAATCGGGAAACAAAGTATTGGATGATGAGATTGATTCTTTTCCATGTCTCATGTCCACACGATATCTTGCAGAATGGAGGATTATATGATCATTTATCTTAGGACACGTATCTGACTGGGTCAGAATTCGACAACAGCTTTTGAGAGTTACAATTTGCTAATCAGTTTTGAAGTTATAATGGTAAATATAGTTATTAGACTTATCCAAGTGGGAGACTGTTGGATTAGGTGTCTAAGTCCATAAATATAATTGGTATATACTTGAATTGATAGTAACATAGTCCTTTTGGGTTGCTCTCAAAACTAGCAACTGTACAAATATTTTGGAGAAAGATGTTGATTTATTATTTGATTAATAAATTGAAATAAATGATTTGTTCATATATTATGAGAATAATTTATTAATTATAAATAGTAATATTTAATCAGAAATTAATTGGAATTAATTTTGGGATTAAAGGAATTAATTAAAAGTGTAGGGACTAAAGTGCAATTGTTCAATAGTTCAGCAAGAGGCAATCTAGAACCCTCCATTAGGCATGGACGGGTTCTTCATGCTTAAGGGATTCTAGAATAATCCCTGGTGGATAAACAGGAAAGTGGATAATTACCCGATTTAAGATAGTCTTGGATTAGGGCTTATCTAGGGTTTCCTGACTGCACTATAAATACAGTCTCAACCCTATGAATTTTGGACACTCTTTCTTTTGAAGGCATAGCCGAATTTTCTAGCCTCTTTCCTCATTCTCAATCATCTTCCTTTGCTAGTTTTGGGTGTGAACCACTAGAGGCGCGATATTTGTGACGCTTGCTCTCAAGGCTTCAACAACATAAGGATTTGCATTGTTATTACTATATAATAATCAAGGTATGATTCTTCTAACTCTATTTGTATTTTTTGATTATATGCTAGTGTTCTAGGGTTTCTATTTTGTTGTTCAATTAGAGAAAACATAGATCAACTAATATGGTTGCATGCACACATAGGATTTATATGTTTTGCATAATTCCCACCAAAAAAGACATTAAAATATTTTTCTTACATGAAATTAGGACATAATTAAAATATATTCTAAAACATAATTAAATAATATATTCTATTTTGAATATACCTCAATACGTGTGTCCTGATTCTCATTCTTGCCACCTTCCAAATTTGAATTTTGTTCAATTAGATTTCCAACCCCAAATCCACCAGCTTCAATCTCAAAAGATTGTCTTTCATTCAACTTATCTGTTGTCCACATCGTAACTAATGGTGTTTTACGTTCTATTTTTTGGAGCTTGCATTCAATTTCATCGCTGTAGATTAGCTGCATTATTTATACATCATATTAGATATCTATTATTAAGAAAAAAAATAAGTACATGAAAAAACATACCAATAGCAACAACAGCGGTCCTCTGTAATGACACTAACACTTGGGGTTGTTTGGACGCCATCTCCCTTTTGAATTTTTCACACAATACAACAGATACGAAACCAATCGATTTTAGAAATGTCATCCACTTCAACAAGTGCTCTAACCGTAACTAAGTTGTTTGTCCCCATTGGAATGGATTCTACAAACGTATTAACAAATAAAGTTATGAAACCCAACTTGAAATTCATATCCACTTGTTCAGATTTTGAATAATCTTCTTGTAGTTTGTAGCATGTGCCTTTCCACCTTCAAGTTCCTTTCTCTATCCATCAAACACTTGATGATCTTCGCTAACCATATCCAAGTCAAATAAGCTTTTTCTAGTTTTAGGTAAACCGAACACTTTATGAATTTTTTCCTTTGTGATCTTTATTCTTTTTCCGCGAATCAAAATATTGTCCGTGCCTTCGTCATAATGCTCAAGCACAAAATGGCAAAGTTTTAAAGGAATACTCTTAATTTTGATCTTCAAAAATGCTTTAAATCCCATCCGCTTCACCCAATCTTTTTGTTCTGATGTTAAAGAACTTACAGCCACCGTCATCAATCCAGGTGTCGATCTAGTGTTTATTGAAGGCAACTCCTTCAATATATCTTTCACAGTCTTTTCCTCTTTCATATTTTTTTGCTTTTTTATTGTTGCACGATTGTCCCCACTATTCTTCTTCCTTTTTGCTTCTTTAATCTTTCTCAATCCTTTAACATATTTTCTATCATCAATTCTCTTTTTTACATAGATTTCTTCATCATATTCATCATCTAATTCATTACATCAGTCATAAATGTTAGTAATACCAGAAAAAAGTATTATAACAAATTACAAAGTAATATTCCAACAAAATATTATACATATACACTTATTATATCAGAATATTCTATGAAATTTAATCCAAAAATCCTATATCATCTAAGTAAAATGTAGATCTTTATTCAAATTATAATGTAGATCTTTATTCAAATTATAATATTTATAAAAAATTAAACTTCAATGTTGCAAAATCCTATATCAGCTAAGTAAAACAACAAAAATCAAGTAATATATGATTTATCATATCAGAATATCTAGAATATGTAATATGAACCGTAAACATTTCATATCACAATACTTTCATATCAAACATTGTACTTTTCTTTTTACACATTATAGAAACATACTTTCACATCAAAATACCTAGAATTTCAGTTATGATCCATAACCAGTTCATATCATATTTTAACTTACGCTATGAAAATTATTGTTAGAAACATTCTAATATTTCTATTGTTCCATAATATTAAAATTATAAACTATAAAATCATAGACGTTTTATATTTCACAAAAAAAGTTTAGATTATTTTACCTGTTGACTCCTTTTATGTATCTGATTTTGTCTCTGATTCTGTTGAAGAATCAAAAACATGTTTTTTCTTTTTGTGTTTCACATCATCATGGATTAATTTGCTGTGATGCTTGAAATGTTTTTTTTACTTTCCTTTTTCTTCTTTTTCTTTACTTTATCTGCATCAATAAATTCTTCTATTAGAAGCATATAATATGCTTTTAGTGAATGTCAACATACATATATGATTATTATAAAAGACAACCTATGCCACTATTTTATTATAATACTTTAGTAGATTTTCATTCTTATAATCTTACCAGATTCATCACTCTCTGTTGTGGATGTCTGTGACTCGGATGTCTCTGAATGTGAAGATGAAGAATCTGAAACATAATGCCTTTTTTTCTTTTCAAGTTTTTTTTTTTGTAGCTTTAGCTATATGAAGAAATTTAAAAATTGAAAGAAATTAGAATATTTATTAAAATCAATTAGAATGTTCATAATAATTAACTTAAAAAAACTAAATCCAAAAAACTTTCTTTTATGAAGTATTTTAAAGAATGATTGTTGATACCCTTTTTAATTCTTTTTTTATGATGTGAGGATGAATCAGAAGAAGAATCAGTCACTTTCAGAAGTAACAATCTTTTTTTTAATTTTTTTCTTTGATTTTCCTTCATGTGTCTTCTTTTTCTTTTGATTTGCAATTTGTATATCTGTATCATGAAATTTAACAATTAAAAGCAATTAGAATATATGATAAACAAAATTAGAATATTCAAAATAATTAACTTAAAAAAAATAAATCCAAACATTTGCTTTTTTATGAATTATTTTAAGAAAAGGTTGTTCATATCTTTTTTAACCCTATCTGGATCCCCTGAATATGTATCAAGAAAATTAACAAATAAAAGCAATTAGAATATTTATTAAAAGCATTCAGAATTTACTAAAAGCAGTTATAACATTTAAATTAAAAGTAATTACAATTTATGCCTTTATCTTTATAAATGAAAGTTGAAATGTTCTTTGTTGGTGGAGTTCTTACTGTTTTTCTTACAGTTGCTTTGGTTTATACCTTTTTAGCTGCATCAATAACAACAAATTCCATTAGAATTCATATTAGTTGAAGATATATAATCATGTCACAATTCTATACATACATAACAACAAATTTCTAATGTCAGTCAACATAAAATTCACTAGAATACATAGTGGAACATATAAAGATTTTTGACTAAACACTATACTACAATCATAAAAAGAGATTTATGTTACCAAAATCTATAGTATTAGACAATTTATGGATCTAAAACTTGTTGGTCACACAGAATACATAAATCTAATGAAATGATGAACAATTAGTCAGAATATCATAACGTTTTTGCTGATTTTGATTTAGAATATTTAGATCAAATGAAATGAGGAATAATTAGAACACTTTTGAATAACCTGTGGAGTTAACATCTAGATATAGATCTCTTAATGATTTCATAGATTCTATATAAATCACACACTGAGATGTAGGTTTAGATTGTACTCCATGTTATATAATGTTATATTCCATTACATCCTGACTTTGACATATAACTCGCTAGTGAAATATCTCGATTATAAAACATTTGTTGAAGATACACAACGATTTAAAGTAAAACAAATTCTATAATAAGAACACATAGGTTTATTGAATAAGAACATGAGATTTATAGTATTATACTTACTTGGAACAACTGTTGATACAAAATCAGAATAAGAATTTGTAGAATGAGCCATTTGATTCGATATCAAATTCAAAATCAGAAGGTTTTTAGTGTTCGAGTTGAAAATCGAGGGTTTTCGAGTATGAATCGGAAGTTGAATTTCAGGTAGAATCAGAATAAGGAGCTCGAATCAGAAGATCAACTTAGATTTAGGGTTAATCCGAAACAAATTTGTGAATGAAACAGAAGATGTCGATGATCGAGATTGAATCAAATGGGGTTTAGTGTTCGTATCGAGGGTTTTTAGGAAGAATATCGAGTGTTTTTGCAAGCTGAATGAAATATATAGAATGTAAAATTCCATTACTGCCCCTTCGTGCCTTATTCTAATCTCAAAGTTCCATTTAATTACAAAAATACCACTGCCTACTTGTGGTTTAATCTGATTTAATTTCAGTCTTTGATTATTCAAGATTAATGGTCAAGATGTGGTCTCCTTGTCTCACAAAATACTATTGTCTCATATTAACCTAACCTTTTATATATATATATATATATATATATATATATATATATATATATATATATATATATATATATATGAAAAAAAAAAGTTCTATGACTCCTCAATTCATAGAAATTCCAATTATTATCTAAAAAAATACATATATCACGGATATGATAATTTTAGTTAAACGGTTTAATATTTTCAAAAGGAACCATGGTGGAAGACTTCTATTTATATTATAGCCAACTGTGGGATCACCCAAAATTCCAAGTGACACGTAAAAATGGAGTACGGATCAAAGGCCCTTGCCCTTTCCTCGCTCCTGCTCCTTCTTCTAACACTTGAATCGATCTTCATAACTCTATCGCATTCTAAATCAATCGTCAAAACCCTTCCTGGATATCCTGGTCAACTTCCATTCAAACTCGAAACGGGGTATCGTCATCTCAACCTTTATGAAAAAACTGGTTTCATATCATATTGAAAATTATCGATTTACACTACTTAGCTGTAACAAGAGGTTATTAATTAGTTCATCGGAAAACATGGTGCTTTTGAAAATTAACACAGATTCGTTCACGTTTAATTCTAATTAAAACATTGTTGTATTGTATGGAAGTTATGTGGGAATAGGAGAGAAGAAAGAAGCACAGTTTTTCTACTATTTTGTTGAATCAGAACGAAATCCAGAAGAAGACCCGCTTTTATTTTATCTCGCCGGAGGTCCTGGCTGTTCTGCTGTCATTACTTTCTTCTATCAAATCGGTATGATCTATTATGTTTTTGTTCATGCATAGGTTTTTTTTTTTAATCTCAAAGATACCATGTATACCTGTTTAAAGAAACCTTCATCTGCAACGTTAAATTCCAAAATAAACCGCCAAACAACAGTTGGACAGTTGCAGCGAGTTATCTTTACACATTTTACACCATGCACCCTGTTTATACTTTATAGATATCAAATCCTTGTAGTGTTTACTTAATATAATCCTTGATTGCTTTGGTGTTAATGAATAATTAAATGAAAACATATTTATAAATTCTTAAAAGACCTGCGATAATAAAACTAATTTATAAAATAAAGATTTTATTTATTTAAATGACGATCTAATTTGAACGACAATAACATTAAGGTTGCGTTTAGTTACGGAAAAACAGTTTTCATTTTCTGTTTTTCGTTTTCTCTTTTCATATTTCGTTTTCCGTTTCCGGTTTTCATTGAAAAATTTAGAAAACGCGTTTAGTTAAAACTTATTCATTTTTCATTTTCAGTTTTAGAAAATTAGAAAACGTGTTTAGATGTGTATTTTTCTATTGGTTTTCATTTTTAGAAAACAGTTGCGGTGGTAGTGTGGGGTGGGGGTGGAGGTGGTAGCGGGTCGGCGGCGGTGGTGGTGATGGCGGTGGCCGCGGCGGCGGTGGTGGTGGTGGTGCTGATGGGGTAGTGGTGGTGGTGATGGTGATGGTAGGTCGGTGATTGTGGTAGTGGTGTTGGGTGGGTAGGTGTGTCTGTGTGTGTTTGTGTGTGTGTGTGTGTTTGTAGGGGTGGGGGTGAGTGTGTGGGTGGGTGTAGGTGTGGGTGTGTGTGTGTTCGTGTGTTTTTGGGGATGGGGGTGGGTTTGTGTGTGTGTGTGTGTTTGTGGGCGTGGGGGTGGCTTTATGTTTGTGTGTGTGTGTGTTGGGAGGGGGGGGGTATGGGTGGGGGTTGGGGTAGGTGTGTGTTTGTGTGTGTGTTTGTAAGGGTGGGCTTGGGAGTAGGTGAGTGTGGGTAGGTAGGGGTGTGGTGGGTTGGAGGTGTAGAGATGGGGGTAGGTAGAGATGAGAGTGAGGGGTGTATTTATATTTTAGAAAAACTTTGGAATTAGAAAAATGTGGAAAACAATAATTATTGGTTTTCTAAAAATTTCCAACTTCTTTGTAATTTTAGAAAACGGAAAATTTTCATTTTCGGCGAAAATTTTAGAAAAATAAACGAACTAAACGCGTTTTCAAAATTCTCATTTTTCTTGGAAATTTTTTTCGGAAAACGGCCCATTTTTCCGCAACTAAACGCACCCTAAGAGTTTAAGACAACTAGTAATACTGAAATAACGATACTATATATCTTTAAAAAGGATCATACCATGATATTGATCATGTAGCATTATAATGTGTTTAGAAAGAAATTTGTAGTGATAAAAAATTAGAAATTATTATGACACTGCATACGAAGTAATGCATTCTTTATTTTATGGTATAGTTTTATTTAAGTTGATTAGTGGGCCCCGCCCCCACCGCACGATGCCATGCTGGCATCAATGCATGAGTAAGTGTCGACGCGTAGCCGATGAATTAAGTCCAGAAGCATACACTAATCAATTAGTCATACAACAGCAATAGATATTCTATTTTGTAAGAAAAAAAATACAATATTTCAGTTTTAGATTGAAAACAATATAAATTATAACATTCTCTCTTTTGTAGATGATAATTAATGACTTCTAAGATTGAATTTGAAACATCCCTCTTTCCAGATATGGCCCAAAATTATATAACTGTTGTGAACCTTTGTTTTCTAATTATATAACTGTTGTGAAGCTTTGTTTTCTGCGGTCGTAATGTTTATTTCGATATTAATGATAGTTGTAATGATTATAAAATTGATTATCAGAACTTGAAAATAAGTATCAATACAAATTGCTTATTTTTATAAAGTTGACGACTTTGCTTAATGATTTCAAACTTTATTAATTACTTAAATTAGAAATTAAAACAAGGAATTGTAAATTTGACGACTTTTTTTTTATAAAATAAGTGTGTTTGAATTTTTTTTTTATCAAATAGGTCTACTTTTAAACATATTTACTAAAAAGGTATAATTGTCAAAAATATTTACCAAAATAATATTTTTTTTTAAACTTTTTAAAAAAAATTCAGCTATTGTTTTAATATTTACCAAAACATTGTTTTTATAACTTTTTTAATATTTTTAGCTATTTTCTTTAATTTTTACTGTTTTTTAAATATTCATTTTTACCTTTTCTTTTATTTGCTATTAACTTTTATATTAAAAAATAAAAATGATAAACATATTGTTCTGTAAAAACTCTAAATTTGGAAGCAATTCTCTAGATGGCAATTGCGGCCAATACACTTCATGAGGAAGTGGGGAAAACTCGGATGCCCAAGTAGAACAATACTCTACAATTGAGTCACATTTATGAAGACATTGCCAACTATTCAAAGAAAATTTGGCACATGCACTTAAGATATGAGAATAATGATATTTAAATACCTTCCACTTACCACATGTTCAAGTTTTTTGGTCCAAATTAACTACTTGTATATTTTTTCATCTTTGAGTTATCAACTCAAATATACATTTCTCTCGATTAAAAGATCCCAAGGAGTGTGCACTTGTTTTTTACATCAAAGCTACTCAACATCATGAGAAATATATGCAACTCCATTAGCTTGGGCACTAGATCCTAAAGGATGCCTCACCTCAAATATAGTGCACTAATCTATAGAAAGTAAGTTGGACACAAGTTGTGATTGATAAATAAAACAAGCACCTTTAAGTACACTATTAAAAATCTCCAACAAATTTGTTGTAAGCTACCCATGTCTCCTTCCACCATCATGTGCAAGTGTTCATCTATCAAGTAGACATCTTCATTCTGAATTATGTCTTATATGACATTAGCATGACTCGTATTAGGTAATAGTAACTTATTGTTCCTTTCCTCTTCTAGAATAACAGATTCGTGATTTCTACATCAAAAATTACAAACTAAGTTATCACATCCAAAATAAGTAGAAACATGTAAATCATGTAAAACACAAATGTTTATATCTAGATATTATCTCTGTGTGTCGAATTTGAACATTGTTTTCAATCTCTAAATATAGATCAATGTTACTTACTTCTTGATGGAGACGATGCACATCAAACATGATTCTAACATCATCATTATCTTTGATAGGAAGAGGGATGTATTTTACAACATTTCCAATACCTACGGATGAATATCTGCAAGTTAAGTTGATGTGGTGTTGGTGTTTATCAAAAGATGTAGTATTGATTGCTTTCTTGGAGTTTTACTATAATTTATACCATCTGGACCATCACAAGTTGTCCCACCCTAATAACAAAACACTGTAACAACATCCATTTAGCAAATGGGAACAAAACAAAAAATCAATTACAATGCATAAAATATGAATGTTGTAGCACATCACAACAGGGCTGAAGCAAATAAAGCAAATCACAGAGCTGATGCAAATGAAGACTTATAGGAAATTGAGCTCGTTTTTCGTCTGATGGTCGGAATCGAGGAAGAATTTTACCATAAATTACGGTTCGCCCGGTGCAGCAAGGGTGGAGGCAGACTTTTCGACGTCTGTTGTAACTGGAATTGGACTAGCCGACGTCGGATGTGGTCGGAAGCGAAGAAGATGATTGTCGCGATCTCAAAGACGTCGTCTGTTGGGTGTGTAGTTCAAGGGTCTTGTTCTATTTGTTTTGTTTTGGTTTTTTCGAATTTGAATTGGTATTACATTTTAACCCTAAATGGTAATTATTTTTAAACCATACTTGTTTGGGAAATAAGTTTTTAAAACATACCATTTTGGTAAAAAAAATTCTACATTTGACCCTATAAAAATGAGAAAGTGTTTTATTGAAATTGTAAATCTGTTAATGAATTACTTTTTCTGCAAGTCCACTTAGTTTCAACTTTGACTTTTTTTTCTAATGAATTACTTTCTTGCAGGTCCACTTAGTTTTAACTTTGCCAATGCTCCCGAGAATATCACAGTCACATTAAATCCAAACTCATGGACTAAGGTTAATAAAGTTTCACTACATTGACATTATATTATTATATATTGAATCTGAGAAAGAATTTATGTTTATATATTGGCTAAAATTTATAGGGTTGGTTTGTTGTAGATAGCTAATATCATATTTGTTGATATGCCTGCGGGTGTCGGATTCTCATATGCCATGACAAAAGAAGCATCAATCAGCAGTGATAGCATTTTGGTCAAGCAAGCTAACAATTTTATTCGGAAGGTATATCTTATTTTAATCTAAAATTGATTTTAAGTCTATAAATCTTACATGTTCAGGGTTGATATCCAACAGTTTCTTATCGACCATCGTAAGTTTTTAAAAAATCCACTATACATAGCGGGCACTTCTTACATGGGAATTATAACGCCTATCATTACTTTGGAACTGTACAAAGGTACATGATTCTCTTTGGTGATATATCGATTTTCTATTTCACATCATGCATGAAAAAGGTTGTGACATGTTGAAAAATTATTGTTTGTAGCAAATGAACGAGGTGATAAACCTTCATTGAATATTCAAGTATATTCACTAGTACAAAAAGCTTTTGTTGATGCGGTTAAAATAATTAATTGATGCGGTTATTGAACCGCACCAAAAAATATCGCCTCAAAAAATCACCTTATTTAATAGTGCGGTTTTCAAACTGCCCTAAAAAATGACAGAACCGCCCTAAAAAAACAAATTGTTTCTTCCATAAAAGCAAATTACAACCGCATCGTTAAATTAGAACTGCTCCTTTAAATACATAAAGAACCGCATCTTTAAATAAACAAATAACCCCACCTAAAAAGTACTGGAACATTACCAAGATAATCAATCTATTGAAAGATCTAAAAGTTTTTTCAACCGTTAACAACATAAACCCCTTTAAAATAGAGTACAGAAACAAAACAAAAATCAACCCATTAAAAGATATAATGTCATGATACATGCAGTGAGCGAGATTCAATGTATTTAACAAATAAGTTGCATTTAATTCTAGAAAACAAAGAAAGATATAATCATTTGAGCTCTAACTCCTTGCAACTCTTGTAGTGTTGTTCCAATGGGGTTAGTTTAATTTAGCTTGATTCTAGGTGCTGAACATTAAGCCTGTAAAATGAACACAAAACGATGCATGGAAATTCATGGAATTAATTTATATTATCAAGGTATAACAAACATTTGTGAAACGGAACCGAACCGGAACCGATTAGTGGTATTCGGTCAAGTTCCCGAATCTCCCAATCCATCATTTTCGTTTTTGGTTCTGGTTCGATTCGGGCAGGTTTCAGAACAGTTTACATCCCTATGTCAAAACTATTCTCTTTTTCATAAGACCAAAGGCAGAGAGATTGGACACAAACCGAAGGCAGTGAGCTTGGACACAAATTAATCTCCCAATCCTTTGTCTGTTCAAAAGATACAAATTGCCCTCCTCATTCTCATCAAAAGTAGTAAATCTGCAGCCAAAAGATTTTGTTGAATACAAGTTTGCAGAGCTATTATTGTTTCTTTTCTAACTTTCTCATCATTTTATCTATTTTCAAATTGATATAGTGACTACACATCATACTATTAAATCATAAAAAAAGAACCATTTGCTAGATTTCCAAAACTTTGATTTCACTAGTGTTTGCAAATTACGTTTTAACTTTATAGATGATAAACGAATATAACCTAAGAAAGTAACTCAAATGCAAACCTTAAGGATTGAAACAACCATATGTTGTGACAGCTTCCATCTCTTTTGTCTTTTTTCCATTCATGGTGTTTTGACTTTTCTTCATTCATGGCGTGTTTAATTGAACCTCTGGTTGTACAAAGACGAGAATTCTACCCACCTGTTGTCACAACATCTTGTGGCACCTTACATAAAAAGGGGAGTTGTTTTAGTGGAAAAAGGCATCAGGAGATCTAGAAGGCCAAAGCTAACAGAGGTTACCTGCTTGTTGTTGTTCGGAGATGCCTTAGGCATTTTAACAAACATGTAGAGTGCATTCGATAAACCCTAACACCCTATCTCATTTTTACCTGTTTCAATTTCTACCAACACTGATCAATTAGATCTTGCGAAGCAATCACATCCACACAATCATACACTACATACAGTACATAGAATTAAAGGACAAAAAAGGAGGCTTTTTATTACTTACCGTTCTTTGAAGCACTTAAACACAAGAATTTTAGACTTTATGAAAATTCATCGTTCGAAGGGGTTGTTGCGCCGGAGTGGAGGCTACCTTACCGCGCCGGTATAGAAATCGATGAGATCGCCGATGTAATACGCTGGAAAGAGAAGAAAGCCTACAGGGGAAGGGTCTTTGAGGCGTGTATATGACGAACAAAAGAGGAAATAGCGAAGAAACGAAAAATCAAAACATTTTACTATTTAAGAATAGTTTATCAGAAAAATCGACGCTAGGGTTTTCAGATTTTGTACCGGAGAAGGAGGAGGAAGTCGCTAGAAGCAAGAGGTCGTCAGGATCTGCTGTGTCTTTGCCGTCTGCCCTTTGGGTGAGAGATTAACAAAATATTGAAAGGAAAGACATGGGCGGGGAATGAAAAAATTGGAAGGGGGAAATACCGCCATGAACAAAATATTAGGAGGGAACTGAATCTTTAATAATGCGTTTTTGAAGTAAACCGCACTAATAAATGGTTTTTAATGCATTTTTATAGAAACTGCATCAATAAATATATTTGATGGTGCGATTTTATAGTCTATTAATGTGAAAACAGTTTAATGATGCGGTTTTACGCTATCACCGCCTTAAAAAAAAAATACCTATCGCACTATTAAATAGGGTTTGTACTAGTGATTATCCATGCAATCTCATGAAATTTAAAGCTTTATATTTTAATTTAATTTGAAGATACAAAATAATCTATGTTTTTTGAATTGGCACATAGGGGTACATTCTTTGCAGTCCTCTCACCGATAAGTTTATGGATTTCAATTCTAGATTTGAATATGCTCATCGTATGGCACTTATATCTGATGACATTTATAAGGTAAATTTTAGACATTTTTAAGAATTACTATCAAATTATGAATTATCTTTGTATAATAGTGATAATAATTTGATTTTGCAGGCTGCAATAGGAAATTGTCGTGGTAATTATGTGAACATGAATACTGCCAATTCGATATGCATAGATAGTCTTCAAAGATACATGGAGGTATGTTGACTAAATTGATTTTGTAAAACCATGGTGATTTCATAAAACATGTAGCCATCTAATTTTAGGAATTGTAGTGCACAAGTGGACTAAATATGGAAAATATATTGGATCCGCTTTGTAATAAATCGGATGTGAAGCCATATTGTCGTGTAATCTATCTCTCTCCTTTGTCTATACAAGAACTTATACTTCCATGGTTGATCTTGAGTAATAGGAATTTGATTCCTAAAACTAATGATATTCATATTCTCGTCGCACTTTTAGGAGCACTATTACAATTTTGGAGAAGATTGGATGAATGATGAGGCTGTGCAACAAGCTCTTAAAGTTCGCAAGGTGTGTTAATTAGTTATATATGGTTTGAAGGAGGTATAAGTTAGGGATTATATATCATCAAAACATGTTCAAAAATTTATTTTCAGGGAATGATTCGAAAATGGGAGTTATTCAACATGACGATGCATTACTTTGAAGGAAAAAATGATACATTTTGTTATGCTTATGATATCTTTAGTAGTTTTGCATACCACAAGAAACTTGTTAGTAAAAATTGTCGAGCTTTGATCTTTAGGTAACATAACGATATTCTCAACCTTTTTGTTCCCTAACTAGACCATAGTGAAATATTATGCATAATATAAGACATTTTATTGACAGTGGTGATCATGATATGACATTTCCATATGTTGGAATCGAGCAATGGATAGTTGCTCTTGATCTAGAAATTGATAGCCCATGGAAGCCGTTCTATATTAACAATCAAGTCGGAGGGTGAGAATCGACTTTATTTATTTGGGTATTTTATAATTTAGTTGTATGTTTACTAATCTCATCGTTTTATTCCAGATATGAAATGACATATGCACAAAAGGAATTCTCCTTGGCATTTGCCACCGTTAAAGTAAGATACACATTATTGTCATCATCAATATTTTAAATAAAGCAGTCATTATGCTTTTGCATGTTTGATTCCTTCATATTTTATATTCATAATCAAGTAAGCCTCTATCTTGCATTTGTATTTTAGTTCTTTGATTTATATACTTGCAGGGTGCGGGTCATTCAGTGGCACAATACAAGCCAAAAGAAGCTATGGCTTTAGCTGAGAGGTGGCTTGCTTCGAAAACTTACTCAAGCTCAATGTAGATATGATGCGTATTGTATTAATCTTATGATCAATGTTTGTAAAAGCTTGATTTTTGTATCTTTTGATGATGCAACCAAAAGAGAATGATTAATTGAAGTAAACAAGGATTTAGTTTATTATCATATTTATTCCTGGTAGGATATTGCTTATGACATTTGTAGGCTCGAGCCTTAATTAAACAACTTATCTAAGGTGCTGTTTGTTTTTCTTAAAAAAACATTTTCAAAACTCTTATTGCTACGCGGCGCAACACACGCGCAACACTTTTTGTCCCGCAGCAGTTTGTTTTTCGGAAGTCTTCGGGGCTTAAAACTTGTGCTCGTGTGCTTCTTGGGGAAGCACTTGTTGTACCTCTTCCCACCCCTTCAAACCTAAACCTAAAAAAATCCAATCCGAAAAAACAATGGGCCCTTTTTTTTCCAAAAATCTAACAACGACGTGTCTTGTTTTTTAAATAAGTGTCCATGAAGTATATTTAATATTACGTTTATGGTCCTTTACTTATATACTATATTTTATTTTCATCCCTTTAACATTTAATACATTAAATTTATATCATTTTTAACCGTTTTCTCCCATTTGATTTACATAAGTTAATTCATTTAAATGTTGCTTTTTAAATTAGTTTATTTTAAATTTTTAATGTCTGCAGATGTTAACAAAAACAAACACGCTTCTTATTACAGTCTGCAGCCGTTTGGTCCACCTCTTCTGCTGCAGAGGTTTGCAGAGGTGGTCCGCAGACTTTTTGAATTTTTGCTTCGGAAAAACAAACAGCACCTAAAATTCGAACATTGATCAAGATGAATGCAAAATGACAACAAGATTCCAAAACTATACAAACGACAAAAATATCAACAAAATGTGTTTCTAATTCTTTAAGTGTTTATAAAACTCTAAATATGAACCGATTGTAATTTACTAAAACAATTATTGAACCGCAAGCATAAACCAATGATCTTATAAGGTTTGATCAAATATGGTGAACAAAACTCTACAAGAAATGAACATTTTGAAAGGACAAAAATCATGGAAAATAGTCATAAAGTCATCCAAAAAATCGTCATATTGTTGGTGATTATAATGTGCTGGTCATTTATTGTAATTCAAACTTATACGACTATTAAATGAGATTAGAACCATGATCCAATATAAGTTAGGTGGTGCAAAATACACACTTGTACAATCAAGTTTGATCCCTACCATAAAAAACATTATGGTTTAGAGGTTGCAAACCTTACAGGTATACGGGAACTTGAGATGGTCATGCTACCGATTAATGAGAGTAAAAGACAGCATCTTGAAATTTTAAATATATATATATATATATATATATATATATATATATATATATATATATATGATCAAAAGTGTGTCCAAAAAATGAAAAAAAATAATAATAATAAAAAATAAAAAATAGAGGAATAAGAGAAAATTGAAAGTTTTAGGACTTGATTGGGGGAGTCCAAGATGTTGGACAACCCAAGCTACCTCATAAATAACCCAAGCTGCATGACCACGTTACTTCGGGCTACCTAAGTTACCATGGACATCCAATCACACTTTCCCTTGGACAAACAATTTTTTATTATCTAAAACCATTATTACATTAATCTTATCTAATTTTTGGATAATAAGTATATATACTTATAATTTTGGATCTCTCGAAGATCCTAGCCAATCCTACAAAAGAATAATATATTGATTTCCTTTTGTTCTCGAATATAAAAGTTCCTATGGTGGATTATCCCATATTAAATTTTGTGATACTAAGTCATAGAGTCAAAATATAAATTACATGAAGTAAACTTTATATGATCCTTCAAATACCAATAACCTTAGTGATTATTAAATATGACCATGTTTCCTCTCTAATTTCTAAGAAGACGATTGTCATCGTAAAAAAACACACATCTTGAAATCACCAACGTTCAATGTATGTATTGCCACCAAATGTTGTCACAGTTAAAAGTATGAAGCTAAATGATAAAGGCATTCAAGTGAAAAAATGAAGCTCAAGGACTTATATAAATAAAAAGTGAGAATATGAAGCCAATTGACAAAGAAATTCAGGTTTGGGAAATCAATGAAAATAAATTATGGCAATTGATAAAGAATCAACAAAAAAATACGAGCATTTTAAACGAACCGGACAAATAAAGGTAAAAGGGAGATGTCATGACCACATCTCAATAGTTTGACGATACTGATGGACCTCTTGTTATCAATAAAATATGTTCTTGGAAAAAAAAACAAAAAAGAAGATGTTTCTACTAAAGGTGGATTTCAACAAGGAATTTGACTCGATTAATTGGGGATATCTTCACTCAGTCATGTCTCAAATGGGGTTTGGAATTAAATGGAGAAGTTGGATCTCAGGGTGTTTTGCTTTTACCCGTGCCTCGGTGTTGTTGAATGGTGCTACTACAAAGGAATTCCCCCTTTCTACAGGAGTCCGTCAAGGAGGCCCACTCTCCCCGTTCCTCTTTATAATAGCAATGGAAGGTCTAAATATCGCCATGAAGGATGCCTGCGATAAAGGTATATTCCATAGAATTAACATCCCGAAGAGTAATACTAGCCTTTCTCACCTCTTCTACGTCAATGATGCGATTTTTGTTGGTGAATGGACGAGAGGAAATCTTAAAAACTTAGCTATAACTATTCGTTGTTTCCATGCGTCTTCCGGTTTAATAGTAAACTTCTCTAAGTCAAAGGTGTTTGGAATTGGTGTATCCGATCGTGAACTGACATCTAACGCTAGTGTACTTGGATGTGGCGTAGGAGCTTTTCCTTTCACCTACTTGGAGGTCCCGGTCAGAGCTAATATGAACCTTATTAAAACTTGGAAACCTATTATTGATCGTATTCAAACTAGGCTTTCTTCTTGGAAAGAAAATACTCTATCTATCAGCGGGCGTCTCACCCTTGTGAAGTCGGTAATGGGAAGCCTTTCACTTTATTTCTTTTCCATATTTAAATAACCTGTTAGAGTGATCGAATCGTTGGAGAAAACACGAAGGAGATTCGTGTTGGGTGGAAATGCGGAAAAAAATAAAATCCATTGGGTAGCTTGGACAAAAATACAAGCTAAAAAAGAAAATGGAGGCCTTGGTGTGGGATCACTACGTGCCCTAAATTGTGCACTTCTAATGAAATGGATATGGAGGCTAAAAGGTCCCCAGAACTCGATATTGAAATCTGTCATTATGGGAATACATAACATCCATAGGAAGCCATTGTCATCGTTATCTAAAATAAATTTAAACGAGGTCTGGGGTAACATTGTTAAGGTAATGGGAGATATAGATTCACTTGGGATTGCTCTGAGTAATCTGTTTTCTGTGAATGTAGGTAACGGAGAACACACTTGCTTTTGGACGGATGTATGGTTTGGAAGCTCAACACTCTCCAATCGATCCCCATACCTATTTGCTTTGGAGAAACATAAATCTGCCTATGTAGCGGAAAGGAATTACATTGATGATATCAACGCGGCCTGCAAAAGAAAGTCTTCAACTATGATCGAGGCTTATGAGCTCTACCAAATTCACTCGATTATCAACTTGACAGAACCTTCCACACAAAATATCATATCTCTCACAAACTCTTTCAATCCACCAATGAAACATGTCTTCATCTCAAGCAAAAAAAACCCCAAGAACCAACAAAAAGAAATCTTCAAACCTTCCATCGCTACACCTTTCACCTCCAAACACTCAATCACCAAACCTTCCATCCTCAAACCTTCCATCACCACCAAGTTATAGACCATCATTTGATCAACCAATTCACTCTCCCACTAGCTTTGACTTTCCTACAATGGCTCTGCAAATGTTTCCATTTAATCCGTTCCCTTCTCAACCGATGGGATTTTACCACAACCAATCTCAATCAACACCTCGTCCGAATGTGGATCTTGATCCGTTTGAAACAGTTCAAGAAACTCAATTATTTTCTCAACCCCAACCGCAAACTAACTTTCAATCCCAACCACGCCACCTACTCGACGAGTTAACCGATTCTTCCAATGAAGTCCCCGTTGAAGATCCCGTTCAAGAATAATTTCAAGAACCCGAAGTGGAACCACAAGCACAAAAAAAGGAAAATGGAGGGCTCCATGTAGAGGGTGGATGGATGATGAAGAGAGGGCACTAGCTCAATCATGGCTAGATGTGTCGGAGGACCCAATCCACGGGAACGACCAAGACTCAACAACCTTTAAACAAAAAGTTTGGAATAACTTTTGCCACCGCTTGAATAATAAGTACCGCAACCCCGAGTGATTTTACTCGAAATGGAGGACCGCCAACCGAGCCGCAATAGAGTTCAACGACATATACATGAACGCGATGAAAAACCCCCACAACGGTGCAACTGATAATAAAACATGAAGGAAACGCTATATGTGTGTACAACGAGAATGAAGTCATCCCAGAGACACAACCACTAGAATATGATGGTCAAGAATGGATACAAGGAATGAGGATAATCCACAGTGCAATAATCCATACCGATCTTCGCCGCCATTTGACCGATCATCTTTGGACGATGGACAATCTTGATCTAAATATGCCACCAGAAAACGAATTGGAATATCAGTGTTCGGAGGAAGACCTGTTGCTTTACTGCGTTTTTTTTATGAAGTGTGTTTTACTTATGAAGTGTGTTTTTTATGTAGTAATTCGCGTTTCTAGGTTCGTGTATGTCGGTGTTAAATCATGTTTGGCGTGGTTTGAATTATTAAATCGTGTTTTTAGATATTTTAAGTTTTAATTTATTGTAACTTTTTTAATGTATTATGAAATGTTTGTGTTTTAAAAAAATATAATGATATTATATTAATTTTTTGTGGTTTAAAAAAATAAAATTTGTTTAATATTTATGCACACAAAATGTTTCTATATTAAATAAAGTAATTTAATTAAATTAGAAAAAGAAAAAAATGGAGTGCTAAAAGTGTTATCACTCCCTACCACATGCTAAGATTATGTGCTAA